ACTACAACTACCTCTACTACTACTACTACTGTTACTGCTGCTGCTGCTACTACTACTACTACTACTTCTACTACTACTGCTACTAGTACTACTACTTCTACTACTTCCACTGCTTCCACTACTTCTACTACGTCTACTACTACTAATACTACTACTACGACTACTACTACTACTACTACTACTACTACTACTACTACTACTACTACTACGAATACTACTACTACTACTACTACTACTGGTACTACGACTGGTACTACTACTACCACCACTACTACTACTACTATTACTGCGACAACTACTATTATTACTACTAACGCTACTGGTACTACGGTACTGCGACAACTACTATTATTACTACTAACGCTACTGCTGGTACTGTTATTACTACTACTACTACTGCTACTACTACTACTACTACTACTACGAATACTGCTACTACTACTAGAGCTAGCTAGCACTACTAGTACTAATACTACTACTACTACGACGACTACTACTACTACAACTACTACCTCTACTACTACTAGTACTGCTACTGCTACTGATACTACTACTACTACTACTACTACTACTGCTACTACTACTACTACTACTACTACTACTGCTACTACTAGTACTGTTATTACTACTACTACTACTACTACTACTACTACTACTACCACTGCTACTACTACTACTACTTCGACGACGACGACTACTACGACACCAGCAGCAACAACAATTGCTACTACTACTACTACGAGAACTACTACTACTACTACTACTGCTACTACTTTTGCTACGACGACGACTACAACTACTACTACTACTACTACTACTACTACTACTACTACTTCGACGACGACGACTACTGCTACTACTACTACTACTACTACTAGGATGACGACTACTACGATTACTACTGCTGCTGCTGCTACTGCTACTGCTACTACTACTACTACTACTACTACTACTACTACTATTTTTACGACTACTACTACTATTTTTACTACTGCTACTACTACTACCACCACCACTACCACTACTACTACTACTACTACTACTACTACTACTACGACTACTACTACTACTACTACTACTACTACTACTGATACTACGACTACTACTACTACTACTACTACTACTGCTGCTACTACTACTACTACCCTTACTACTTGCACTAGTACTTTTACTGCTGCTACTACTACTACTACTACTGCTACTACTACTACTACTACTACTACTACTACTACCACTACTACTGCTACTGCTACTGCTACTGCTACTACTACTACTACTACTGCTGCTGCTGCTACTACTACTACTACTACTGCTACTACTGCTACTACTACTACTACTACGACGACCACTACTACCACTACTGCTACGACTACGGCTACGACTAGTACGACTAGTACGACGACTACTACTACTAGAGCTACTACGAATGATACGACGACTACGACTACTGCTACTACTACTGCTGCTACTACTACTACTGCTTCTACTACGAATACAAATATTACGATTAACCGCTACAACGTGCACCAACTGATACATTCCCCAGTAACTGTCTTGGGAACCTAAATGGTTACAAGTACGCCTGTTACTTTGTATTTCAGAGCTTTCCAAGACGACCCAATTCGAAACATTCGCCAGATTAACGCCCGTAAGCTGGCCCATTTACCAGTGCTACCGGGAAAAATCCAGTTCACCTTGGTATGGACCAGTTCACCAGGGTATGGATCAGAACCCGAGGGAGGAGAGGGGCGGAGGGAGGAGGGGGCGTTGAGAAGGAGGAGGAGGACGAGGAGGAGGAGGAAAAGTGGGAGAAGGAGAGGAAGGAGAAAGGAGGAGAGGGAGGAGGAGGCGGAGGAGTAGGAGGAGGAGGAGGAGGAGGAGAGGGAGGAGAGGGAGGATGAGGATAACGAGGAGGAGGAGGAGAAGGAGGAAGAGGAAGAGTACAAAGTAGCAGCAGCAAGTACACATGCAATGCAGACGGGGGAAAACACAAGGCAAGCTATAGGAGACCTACCGTTCGAGTAATGCGTTGAGGAGGAGGTTGAGGAGGTGGAGGAGGAGGACTGGTTGAGGAGGAGGACTGGTTGAGGAGGAGGAGGAAGAGGTTTAAGAGGAGGAGGACGCGGAGGAGGACGAGGAGAAGGAGGAGGAGGAGGAGTTGATGAGAAGGAGGTTGAGGAGGAGGGTGGGGAGGAGAAGGAGGAGGAGGTGAAGGAGGAGGCGGAGAAGGAAGAGAAGGAGGAATTGAGGGGGAGGCGAGGGATGCGGAGTCGGAGTCGGAGGAGGCCGCGATCTCAACAACAAGGGCACCCCGAGCCGGGCCCCCGCAGGCATGGAGCCGATGGAGCCGGGGCGGCTGCCCGCGGGCGGGGGGGGGGGCGTCCCGCCTGCTGCGGCGGCCTGGGTCCTGCGGGGGCGGGGGGCGGGGAGCCAGGCGCCCTGCGCTCCATGCCTAGTGCTGCGGTGGAGGCCAGTCCACCAGAAACCTTCCACAAGGAACCCAACCCTGAGACCCCAGGACGTTCGTTGATGTTAGATGTGGGGGCGTCGCGCTTTCCATCGCAAAACCATCGAAACCCAAGGAACCCAGGGCACCCTGGAGGCAAGCAGGGTGCTTCTTGGCATGGCCCCCCCCCTGTATGTGTCCCAGTTGGAGGCACGCGTCCGACCCCAACATATAGTGTGCCCATCTCGCAGTGTAGCGTGTCCCGAGCGGTGCGGCCAGAAAGCGCCCGCCACGACGCATGTACTATAAGATTTCTCGGTGCGCGCGTCGCCCCTGGGGGCGGCGATGCACACTTAGTATTAGGTGGGGCATGTCCCCCTACAGGCGGATTTTGGACGAAGCATAGAAGATAGTCAAACATACTCCCACATAGTCAAAACATACTCGAACAATCATGACCCGATTATTTTTTGACTAGTTCTGGTATTCTCCCTGTAGTTCTGGGGGGGGGGGCGACGCACACATAGTTAGGTCGGGCACGTCCCCCTACAGGAAGAAAAATAGCCCAACCACATTCCAAACATGGCTCTAACACAAAAATGTCAAACATCGTCCGAACGCTATTTTTTGTATTTTTGAACATTCCTCCTGTAGAGGGGCAGACCCCATTCCAACAAAGCATCAGTATGTTGGGGTGGCGCCGAAGCCAGGCGCCCTGCGCTCCTCCGCTGGACCTGCTTTCCACCACCACCACCACCACCAGGAGTTGGCGGGGGGAAGGAGGTGGAGGACGAGGAGGAGGACGAGGAGGAGGAGAAGAACGAAGAAGAGGAGGAGGAGGAGGAGGAGGAGAAGAGGGAGGAGGACGAAGATGAGGAGGAGGAGGAGGAGAAGGAGGAGGGGGAGGAGGGGGAGGAGGAGGGGGAGGAGGACCCCCTCGCCCTCCAACTCCTGGTGGTGGTGGTGGTGGAAAACAGGCCCACCATCCTCGCCGTGCCCTGGCCAGCGCTCGGACGTCCGCTCCCCGTGTGAACCTCCTCTGTCGCCCGGGGAAGGCCCCCAGGAGGAGTCCCCTCGTCGAGGAGGAGGATCCCCCTGGATCGTCGAGGAGTCCTCGAAGAGTCCTCGAGGACCCCTTTTTTCTCGGCGAGGATCGTCGAGGAGACCTCGAGGATCGTCGAGGACCCTTTTTTCTCGGCGAGGATCGTCGAGGAGTCCTCGAGTACCCCTTTTTTCTCCGCGAGGATCGTCGAGGAGACCTCGAGGATCGTCGAGGATCCTTTTTTCTCGGCGAGGACCGTCGAGGATCGTCGAGGACCATTTTTTTCTCGGCGAGGACCGTCGAGGAGACCTCGAGGAGTCGTCGAGGACCCCTTTTTTCTCGGCGAGGACCGTCGAGGAGACCTCGAGGAGTCGTCGAGGATCCTTTTTTTCTCGGCGAGGATCGTCGAGGAGACCTCGAGGATCGTCGAGGATCCTTTTTTTCTCGGCGAGGATCGCCGAGGAGTCATCGGCGAACCTCGCCGAGGAAAACAAAAAAGGGCACGCGTCCGAGCGACGGAGATCGGGCTCCACATCAAGACGCATCGCCGCGGCATCGGCGACGCGGCGCGATCCTCCGTCGCCATCGACTCGGGCCCCATCTGGGAGGCCTGTAGCGACGGGCCGGGCGCCCTGCGCTCCTCTCGAGGTCGCCCCCCGCTCGGGGAGGGGGGCCGCCAGAGAAGGATGCAAGGGCCTTGGAGGCCCATGCGAGCGTCGTGCGGGCGAGGCTGGCCAGCGGAAGTCGCTAGGAGTGGGCCGAAGGGGCAGGGACGCAAGGGTGATCCTGACAAAGTCGCTCGTCCTTACTGTGCCTTTGCGCCGGGCATGGAACATGGCTCGCCCCTATGATCGCTTGCTCTCGGGAGGGCGCAAGCGATCATCGGCGCGAACCTTCGATCGCCCTTTGTTCGGCTCATCAACTGACCTCGATGCCGATCTTGAGCACTCTCTCGGTTTCTGAGGGCAAGTCCCTAAGATTGTCATCCCTCTTGGCTTGCCAATCTTAGGGATAGGCATCCGTTCGAGGCAAACTACTTGAGGCCAGGCGCCCCTAGATGTGGGGTCCGAGTAGATGTGGTCGGATGATTGCACCGAATCGGCAATGCAGCGGCAATGCTTCCGCGATGCGACGCCCGCCTGGAGAAGATCGGGCTCCACATCAAGACGCATCGCCAATGCATCGGCGACGCGGTGCGATCCTCCGTCGCCATCTACTGGCTCCCATCTGGGAGGCTACCCTCCACAGACCGACCTCAATCTTACACAGTAGGGGCTCGACCACAAGAAACCTTCCACAAGAGGCCCAACCCTGAGACCCCAGGACGTCCACTGCTTTTAGGTGTGGGAGCGTCACGCTTTCCACAGCAAACACGGCACCCTTGGAGGCAAGCAGGGTGTTTCTTGGCATGGGTCTCCACTGTACCTCGGTCCTACTCCACCCTGTCCTGCTCCTCGCGTTGCGTGCCCCAACCACCAACATCCACGCATGCTGCCACGCCCGGGTCAGGGCGTGCTCGCGGTCCTTCTGCACCTTGCGCCGCTCGCCTTTTTGTCTTGTTCTTGGCTCTCTTGATCATCTCGTGCTTCCACTCTGTAGAGCACTTCGGGCAGACGTCAAATTTGCAGAAGCTGCAGTGAAAGAAGTAGCCAAACCTTGGGCGAGAGGTGTGGGGTGTGCCAGACAGGAAGGAAATTCTGATGGGTCGCCGGGTGCTTGCAGAAACGTGACGTGGACGTGGGCACGCCTGCTCAGGAGGGATGGGGCGGGAGAACTGTGATGGAAAGAAACAGACTGCGCAACGCCAAACAAAACTCTGGGATGGTAGCCGAGGAGAGCTTCCGGAACGGGAGCGCCTGCGAGGGCTCGCGACTGGGGGGGGATGCCAAGAGACGACGCCTAGATGGGAACACTTGGGAAGGCAGCGCGATGGTGAGGACATGTCGACAGCGTTCGGACTGGGAGCGGTGTGAAGGGGGAACTGCGGCATAGCCATAGCATGGCATGAGGTGAGGATGGCGCATGACGGGAGATGTACAAATAATGAGGGGATGGGAGCGCTGTGGACGAGAGGAATATGATTCCCTGTGCGACCGCTCGCTTCTAGCGCGGGCGGAGGCTCGTCAGACGCGGCACCCAACCCAAGTATACATCGTTCCGAAAACCGGGGAAAAGCTCCCCACGAGATTGCCTCGCAGACGCAACGACATGCTGTGAGCCAAAAGGGTCGGGGTCGATGGGGGCCTGGGTCCCAGCCCAGCCTGCCCTGAGGCGGACTCGCGCATCGCAAAATCTGTCTCTAAACGCAGAGTGGGACCTCTGAACGTAGGAGTGGGACGGCGCTGGCGCAGGAGGCTGGGCCCCCACCCCGCCCCGTGGATGGGGCAGGAACGGGAAGAACAGGCACGCGACCGTTGACGCAGGAGGGCGCCGAGAAGCAGATCGGGATCCGGGGAGTCCCAGAGGCACAGGACCTTCCGCGAACGAGGGGTGCCTTGCGGCTGCTTTCGCCGAGGCTTCTCCAGGGAGAGTAGGTCCGAATCGGCTGACGGCCGCGCTGTGTCGAGGCCAATTGGCCCGAAAAAAGGCCAAGTTCTAGGTGCCAGATGCAAATGTTCCAAGTGCCACTTAGGGCGGTTTAGGTTTACAGGACCTTCCGCGAACGAGGGGTGCCTCGGCCTGCGCCGCCCCCCGACGGAAGTGCGAGCCGAGGGCTCGTCGGAAGCGGCGGCGGCCAGAGGGCCGTCCGGGCTGGGCGAGGGCCGAGACGTCGGCGGCGCGCACGGAGGGGGGAGCGCGAGCCTCCGAGGCGGGAGGCGCGACGCCCAACACCACCAGGGGGGCCACCTCCAGCGAGGAGGCCCACGACGCCCCCCCGAGCTGGAGGCTGGGGACGTGTCGAGCGAGAGGGGGGGGGGGGGGCACACCGCCAGGGAGGCCCCCTTGCTCTCCTCGCACCTCCTCGCCCTGGTGGTGCTGGTGTCGCCTTTCCCTGCTCCGACGAGCAGGGGCGGACGCCCTCTGGCCTGCCGAGGCGTTGTCGGAGCTCCCCCGAGGCGGGGAGACGTGAGACTCGGGTGCGGGGGGCTCGGGCTGGCCCGGCGGGGGCCACCACAGAAACGACGAGGCCCACCCTGAATCTGGCGCGTGCTCCCGCGGCAGACGTCCCACGGAGACTGGCCGTCGGAATCCAGGACGCGCTCGTCGGAACACGTCGGGCCACACGAGTCCTGGCTCGCTCGAGTCTCACGTGCCCCCAGCCGAAGGCACAACAAAAACAACCTGGTGGCGAGCGAAGGGGGGACAAGAGAAGGGGCGGGCCTTCTCAGAAGGCTCGGACGTCTCCTGGCCTGCTGAGGAGTTTTCTGAGCCTTCCCCGCAGGCGCCGAAAACTTCTCTCGGGGGCGCACAACACATGAATAAAAAGAGATGCCCTCCCAAAAATGCGGCATGTGCTGCCTCGTTCGGCGGCGGAAATCCGCGATTTCCCATCGCTACTCCACGCCTCCTTGATCCACGCCTCCTTGATCCATGTTTACGATCGCCTGATTCTCAGGAGGCGCGAGGGGGTCAAGACGGGGGGATACGGACCACTCCGCCCCCCCAAATCGGCCTCCCGACCACTCCTGGGTGGAATGGGTCGACTGGGATCTGCTCATGACTGCCCCGGGACCCAGGAGGAGGAGGAGGAGGAGGAGGAGGAGGAGGAGGAGGAGGAGGAGGAGGAGGAGGAGGAGGAGGAGGAGGGGGGGGGAGGAGGAGAGGGAGGAGGGGAGGAGGAGGAGAAGGAGGAGGAGGAGGAGGAGGAGGGGGAGGAGGAGGGGGAGGAGGAGGAGGAGGAGGAGGAGGAGGAGGAGGAGGACGAGGAGGAGGAGTCCCCCAGAGGCCCAACAAGAAGGCCAAAACGCCTCCCCGAACCCGGGGCCTCGATCCTCCCCTTGCGCCGGGGGGGTCTGGGCGCGGCGACCTCCGGACGAGTGGAGGGCGGCCTCGAGAGGAGCCCGGGGAGGCCTGGCCCATCTCCGGGCCTCCCGGATGGGTCCGCACAGATGGCGGCGGAGGATCGCGCCGCGTCGCCGATGCATCGGCGATGCGCGTTGATGCGGAGCCCGATCTTCTCCATGCGGACGTCGCCGCTGCGTCGCCGACATCGCCGATGCGTCGCCGAGTCGGTGCAGTGCTCCGACCCCACCTGCTCGGACCCCATCTGGGAGGCGCCCGGCCTCGAGTGGCCAGGCTCGAAGCGATCCCAGTGCTGAGCTGGGCAAGCCAAAGACGCTGAGAGTCTCAGGGATGGGCCCGCAGAAGCCGAGGGGATCCACACAGGGATGGGGATATGTTCGAAGCTGGTAACGTTAGGTCGGGCATGTCCTCCTACAGGCGGATATTGGGCGACAAATTACCAACAAATGTTCAAGAAAAGCTTAGTGGAAAATCGTCTCCATACTATGTTTTGACTATTTTTGAATATTCCACCAACATTCGGCGGCATCTCATGGGAGCCTCCCGTACCATCGTGTCTGCTCTTGCGAATCGACGCTGATCGACGACAGTCGACGCTAGTCGACGCTACTTCGATGCTCAATCGACGCTAGCCGACGCTGAATCGGCGCTATCTCATCGACTCCCAGACGATAAACGACGCTCATCGACGCTATAGGCGGAATCAAGCGGTAATACAAAACTCCCATGATTTTGCTACCGAACCAGCCAGCTCCAAATTGGGGAGACCAAAAGGTACCGATACCGCCACTCCCTGGACCTATCCGGGGGCGCGTTCTGACGAGGATTTCGAGGCGAATGCAGCGGTGGCGACGAGGGCCTCCCAGGAGGCCCAAAAAGAGGAAAACGGGCGAAAGGTAGAGGTATGGCTACCTTTTCCTTCCCTAAGAATTAAGTTGGGCGTCCCCCTACAGGGGGATTTCCGACGAAAAATTAAAAATACTTAACAAATGCCCCGAAAAGGTCAAACAATACCCAAAACATAGTCCCCAAACTATTTGTTTAGTAGTTTTGAGCACTCCTCCTGTAGAGAGGTAAGTCGGAAAGGTATGGGTACCTTTTGCTCCTCTGAGAACCAGCCGGCTCCAGAATCTCAGGCACCACCAAGCCCAGGTTGCCCCGAAGGCAGGGCAGGGCACGCAGGCCAGCGCCACCGAGGAACAGGCTGGTGGGCCTGCTTTCCACCACCACCACCATAAGTTGGAGGGGGAGGGGATCCTCCTCCTCCTCCTCCTCCTCCTCCTCCTCCTCCCCCTCCTCCTCCTCGTCCTCCTCCTCCTCCTTCTCTTCGTCCTCCGCCTCCCCCTCCTCCTCCTCCTCCTCCTCCTCCTCCAGCTGACGGTGGTGGTGGTGGTGGAAAACGGGCCCATCAAGATCGTGCCGCTGCGCCGAGCGCGGCGCGAAGCAACGGCAAGACGAGGCAGCGCGCACCAGACACGCAGCCGGCAGGACGCCCCCCTGGGCGCCCGCCGCTGGCCCCCAGCACATGGACCGCGAGTGCCACCGCACCCCCCCACACCCTCTGGCTGCTCCGCCACCGGTGGGCCTGTGTTCCACCACCAACACCATGAGCTGGAGGGGGGGGAAGGAGGAGGAGGAGGAGGCGGAGGAGGAGGAGGAGGAGGACGAAGAGGAGGAGGAGGAAGAGGAGGAGAAGGAGGAGGATCCCCTCCCCCTCCAACTTATGGTGGCGGTGGTGGAAGACAGGCCCATCAACCACTGCCATCCAATGAGGAAAAGGTACCCATAGCGCTGCCCTCGCCTTGTCTTTCCCCTCATCTGGGCCTCCCAGGAAGCCCTCGTCGCCCCCGCTAGGTTCTCCCCGACATTCTGGCCAGAACACACCCGAGAGAGGTCCGGGGAGAAGCGGTATCAGTACTCTGGATGGGGCAATACTCGCACCCCCCTTGGATCCGCTGGGGAGTTGGGCACGTGCTGTCGGAACGGGAGGAGGGGGGGTTGAAGGAGGAGGAGGAGGAGGAGGAGGAGGAGGAGGAGGAGGAGGAGGAGGAGGAGGAGGAGGAGGAGGAGGGGGGGGAGGGGGGGGGAGGGGGAGGCGGAGGAGGAGGAGGAGGGAGGAGGAGAGGAGGAGAAAGGAGGAGGAGGAGGAGGAGGAGGAGAAGGGGGAGGAGGGGGGATGGGCAAGCTCCGTCGGAAGGTTAGTCGCCCATCCCTCGATTAATATCCCACCCAGAGTACCTTTCGGTGCCCCCAGACGAGGGCCCGATGGGCCAGGCCGCGCACAGGGAGAGAAGAAGACGGAGCACTTCTTCGGCAAGTTCTCCCGCTGGCACTTGTCGCAGCAAACGGGGTTCAAGTAACCGCGCGGGTTCTTGGACCTCCGATCAAGAAGGGCAGTGGCCAATCGACGACGCACGGCAGTCTCTAAAGGCAGCATGGGGCATCCAGGCACGCACGAGGCGGATTCTGCTCCTCGTTGGTTGCCCAGAGAGGGAACAGCGAAACACAGTCATGACCATGTTTCACTGCCCTGCAATAGAGTGTTGCCTTTCTGGCTCCCACTGCTGGAAAAAGCTGTGCCTCGGCACCCTCTTCAGCCTCACGTAATATCCTGCCGTGTCTACCTTCCATCTGCTCCTATTCCTGCACACTGTGTAGATGTCAGCGAGCGTGGATCCCAAACCATGTTGCTAGCAATATATATATATATATATATATATATATATTGTGCAGATTATATAATACAGTTTATATGGTGCAATACATGTGGTGCACTCCATGTGGTGATGTCTGCGTGGTGCAAAATCCGCCGGCCCCCTTGCGGGGCCACAAGGCTGCGAGGATGAGGGTTGCAGTACCTTGCACCAGTTCCAGTTTCCGGTTTCCAATGTTACACTCTTGCTTTCTGCTTCCTACTGTAAATTGTTACTGTCCGCGCGAGGGGGGGGGGAGCGGAAAAGGGCCTTGGTTACCCTCCCCCACGAGGGTTCTCAGAATCTCTAGGGGTCCCTGAGTCATGTAAAAATGCGTGAGATTAGCGTCTCCGAGGTCCCGATCCCTTGTAAAGTTGCTACATTCGCGGCCCTGGGGACACGATCCTTAGAAAACTATGCAATTGTGCGCCCCCGAGGCCATCAACTCTAGTGAAGCATACAACGTTCGCGTCCCCGAGGCTATAAGCCGTAAAACATCGTTAAGTATGAACTGTTCGCGTCCCTGGGGCCATAAACACCAAATTCGCGTCCCCGATGCCATGAGCCTTTAATTCAATCTTCGCAATACAAAATATGCGTGTCCTTGGGGCCACATGACCTCGTAAACGAAATAATGCTTGTACTCTGCGAGGCCATATGTCCTCGTACACTATACAATATTTGCGTCCCCGAGGCCATAAACCGTTGTACATTCCTCGATACTCGCGTCCCCGAGGCCGTACACCTTTTTGCAAATTCAACAAGACTCGCGCCCCTGATGCAAACATTCCTTTCAAATTACGGCACGCGCGCGCCCCCGACGCCCCAATCCCTTACAACAGACTCCGAGGAGCCGGAAGACCGCCCCAGCTGTGCGATTTTGCCAACTCTAGCCTCAAGCAGCACCCAGTCTTTCCAAGAGGGCCTCCACTGCACAGCATGCGGGGTCAAGTCCAAAATGCAACACCGAATTCAGCAATATCATCTGAATCTACATCTTCCTCGCCGATCACATATCGTCCTCGCATGAGGTCCCGACACTGCTTCAAGACGGCGCCCAGACCTCACAACGTAGCTCTTGCATGATCGAGCATCCGAGATGGGGGGCCGGCGGCGGGGGGCAAAGCCCTTGCGGATGTGGTGTGCACCCTATGAGGTGCAATGTATGTTGTGTAATACATGGGGGGCAGATTATGCGGTTCAATATATGTTGTGCAAGTTATGTGGTGCAGTCGAAGTGCTGTACTCTATGTGGTGCAGTTTGTGTTGAAAACGTTTATGGTGCAATGTATGCTGTGCACACTATGTGGTGCAATGTATGGTGTGCAACCCTTGTGGTACAAATTATGCGGTTCCATCTACGTTGTACAGGCTACGATATGAAGCCTAAGTGGCGCAATCTATGTGGTGCAATCAATCACTTGCTCAACTTGAAGCTGTCCTCTCCACTGCTCGCGCAAACATCCCACCCTCCCACGCGCAACTTGGTTTGCAAAACCTCTTAAGACCGACTGCGACGACACCGACGACACCGACGACGACGACACCGACGACGTCTCCAACGACTTCGACGACGACAGCGACGACGACGCCGACGACGACGAAGACGACGACGACGCCAACGAAGGCGACGACGAGGGAGGAGGAAGGACGACGACGGCGACAACGACGACAACGACGACAACGACGAGGGAAGAGGGAGGACGGCGACGACACGAATGACGACGAAGGAGGAAGGACGGCGACGCCGACGACGACAGCGACGAGGGAGGAGGGAAGACGACGACGACAACGACGACGACGACAGTGACGAAATAGAACCGACGACGAGACGCCGACGACGGACGACGACGACATGGGAGGAGGAGGACGGACGACCACGGCGACAACGACGACGGAAACGACCACGACGCCAAAGAGGACGGCGACGACGAACACGAGAAAAGACAGAGGACGCCGTAGGCGACGACGACGACGACGACGACGAGGGAGGAGGGAGAACGGCGACGACGACGACGACGACGACGCAAGAGCGCGCGCGCACGCTTTTGTTGAAAATCCGTGCTGCGAAACCTTGGATTTTGGATGTTTTTTGAACGCACGATTTTGAAATCCTTCCGAAACCTATGGGTTTTGAAGGTTTTCGGCATGCGCCCGCGACGACGCGCGCGTCTGCGCTTCGTCCCATTTTTTGCAGAGGATTCTCACGACGGCACACGCGCAAGGGCGTTCGACAGATTTCGACATGCGCGCGCGAAGCCCGTTTGGTAACATTTTGTCAAAATGTTGAAAAACTTATGGTTTTCTTAAGATTTCGCAAGAGCTCGCGCGGAAGCTTGTTTAGCAAATCAGTGTTGCGAAACCATGTGTTTTTGTATGTTTTTGGGAAACTCAATTGCGAAATCCTTCCGACACCGAAGGTTTTTGAAGGATTTCGGCATGCGCGCGCGACGACGCGCGCGTGTGAACTTCGTACAATTTGTTGCAAGGGATTCGTGAAGAAATGTTATGTTAGAACAAAATGTCACCGCATAGTGCTTTTTACAAGGGGACCTCAGGGGGGGGAAACCGGTTTGGCTGGGATAATATGATTTCATGATTAGGATGGACGAGTGGTCAGGCTCATATATGATTTACATACCCGAAATGGGAACGGATAAGTCCGGGGGGGGGTAGAGTCTATTCTCTTCTTGGAAAGGAGAATCCATGTGATCCACTCTATGTGGTGTAGCATGTGTTGTGAAATCTGCGTGGTGAAATATATGGTGCGCGCTCTACGTGGTGCAATCTATGGTGTGCAATCCACTCTGCTGAACTTGAAATCGTCATCTCCACTGCTCGCGCAAACATCCCAACCACCCACCCGCAACTTGGTTTGCAAAATCTCTTAAGACCGTGACGGTGGGTACCACATGGCACTTGGCACCAACAGCGACGCCGACGACGACAGCGACAACGACGATGACGACGCCGCCGACAACGACTACGACGACACCGACGACGTCTCCAGCGACTTCGACGACGACTACGACGCCGACGCCGACGACGACGAAGACGACGACGACGCCAACGAAGGCGACGACGAGGGAGGAGGAATGACGACGACGGCGACAACGACGACAACGACGACAACGACGAGGGAGGAGGGAGGACGGCGATGACGCGAACGACGACGAAGGAGGCAGGACGGCGACGCCGACGGCGACAGCGACGAGGGAGGAGGGAAGACGACGACGACAACGACGACGACGACGGCGACGAAATGGGAGGGACGACGACGAGACGCCGACGACGGACGACGACGACGTGGGAGGAGGAGGGACGACCACGGCGACAACGACGACGGAAACGACCACGACGCCAAAGAGGACGACGACGACGAACACGAGAAAAGACAGAGGACGACGTAGGCGACGACGACGACGACGACGAGGGAGGAGGGAGAACGGCGACGACGACGACGACGACGACGACGCAAGAGCGCGCGCGCACGCTTTTGTTGAAAATCCGTGTTGCCAAACCCTTGGTTTTTTGATATTTTTTGGACGCACGATTTTGAAATCCTTCCGAAACCGATGGGTTTTGAAGGTTTTCGGCATGCGCAAGCGACGACGCGCGCTCGTGCACTTCGTCCCATTTTTTGCAGAGGATTCTCGCGACGGCACACGTGCAATGGCGTTCGACAGATTTCGACATGCGCGCGCGCGAAGCCCGTTTGGTAGCATGTTGTCAAAATTTTGAAAAACCTATGGTTTTCTTAAGATTTCGCAAGAGCTCGCGCGGAAGCTTTTTTAGCAAATCAGTGTTGCGAAACCCTGCGTGTTTATATGTTTTTTGGAAACTCGATTGCGAAATCCTTCCGGCACCGAAGGTTTTTGAAAGATTTCGGCATGCGCGCGCGACGACGCGCGCGTGTGCACTTCGTCCCGTTTTGTGCAAGGATTCGTGAAGAAGTGTTATGTTAGAACAAAATGTCACCGCATAGTGTTTTTTTAAAGGGAACCTCAGGGGGGGGGAAACCGGCCTAGCTGGGATGGTATGATTTTATTTTTAGGATGGACGAGCGTGCAGAAAAACATGATGGACCCACGAACCCGGAAAGGGATATAGACATGTGGAGCATGGACACGTTTTCATGATACCCAACTGGGCAACACCTCACGAAACATCCCACGAGACACCTCACGAAACAGCCCACGAGACACCTCACGAAACATTCCACGAGACACCTCACGAAACATTTCACGAGACACCCCGCGAAACATTCCACGAGACACCCCACGAAACATTCCACGACGACAGGCAACCACTCAACCAAGGCGGTGTGGTCGTGCTGGGGAGTGGTCGTGCTGGGGTGTGGTCGTGCTGGGGGGTGGTCGTGCTGGGGGGTGGTCGTGCTGGGGGGGTGGTCGTGCTGGGGGGTGGTCGTGCTGGGGCGTGGTCGTGCTGGGGCGTGGTCGTGCTGGGGCGTGGTCGTGCTGGGGCGTGGTCGTGCTGGGGCGTGGTCGTGCTGGGGTGTGGTCGTGCTGTGGTAAGGTCGTGCTGGGGTGCGGTCGTGCTGGGGTGTGGTCTTGCTGGGGTGGGGTCGTGCTGGGGTGTGATCGTGCTGGGGTGGGGTCGTGCTGGGGTGTGGTCGTGCTGGGGTGTGGTCGTGCTAGGGTGGGGTCGTGCTGGGGTGGGGTCGT